AGTCAGAGAACCGAGTACGGGATCGATTTCCAGTAAAATCTGACTGATTCTGACTACTCCGGACTCGTACGGGATCGCAACTTTTGCTGACTAAAATTTTGCCAGTACAAAATGAACGCTTCTCTTGCATCAAAATGAACGCTTGCTCTCTCAATTTTTGTGTGTTGGATCGAACGCCATCCAGTAAAAATTTGGAAAACTATTACAAATTTTTGACTTGTCGAACGCACCTATTATGTGAAAATGCAATATTTTCGCATTTAGCAAAATTAAACACGTTTTTCGCTGTAAAGTGAACTGTTTGGCAGTCTCAACTCGTTCTTCTTTTCTCTATATCTTTGTTTACTTGTGGTACACAAATGTCAACGGCCTAGGACGGCGCAATCACAGTATATACAGTAATAAACCTTTTCGCAGTTTTTCACCATTTGGTACCCGAGGAGTACTTTTGGGATGTGTGCAGCGCTTTAGTTTTGCGCGCACGGCAACACTTACTGTGGGGAATTTCGCCTCATGATTAGAAAAAGTTCATTTCGAGGATAAAATATACATAATTATGTGTTATTTATGAACAAAATGTAGGTTAAGTATAATATTTATTTATTTCAATTCAGTTAGCCTACAGAGTATATATTCTTACAGACTAAGACAACATTAATTTAGTTTCCATTGTGTGTGTGACGATACATTCCCAGTAGAACTTGGGAGCATCGTACGATTGCTCGGTGAGTACTCCCTTGGGAGTATACGAATACTCCCCATTGCTCCCTATGCTTCTGTTTATAAGCATGTAATTTTGTATACTTCCTTTAACATTGGATGTCCTAGGAGGGGGAGTAATCCCTTTTACCTCCTAAACGAGCAATCGGGAGTACTCCCATAGTTACCTCCCAGAAACCTCCCAAAAAGACAACAAGGGAGTGCACATAGAAAACATCCCATATTCCTCCGGAACGACGAAATAAAGGAGTAATTCTACTAAAGGAAAATTTCGAATTAAAAATCCGCTTTTATTATTCAGAATTTCAGTCTGGCAGCACCAAGTTTTATGTTATTTTGCTATCTTATTCATCGTTTATATGAAAGCTTTAACAATAAATTATATAAGAACTATAGGGTTGCTAGAAAAAAGGGGGGTATTTTTGAAATCGGGGGTCCTATTCTACCCCCCTCTTCCCCCCTTTTTCTGGAATTTGCCGTCCGTCTACTAAAATTTTCCCCTATTTAGCATACTAGTGTTCGCCTGGCGTTTGAAATTCAAGCTTTTAAATTAAGGGGAGTTGAGGGGGGCTGGGCTGAGCCGAGTAGAGTTTAGTTGAGTGGAGGAGAAGTGAGTTGAGGTGAAATGCGTTGAACAACATGTTATAACAGAACATAACATAAAATAACATAACCACATAACATAACATAAAATAACATAACACAACACCATACAACACAACACCACACAAGCAGTTTCTGATCGGGAGCCACAGAAGTGGCCACCCGAACAGACAGCTGCTTGCAGAGGAGCCCTCGCTTAGGCACGTCAGGAGGCATCTATATGAACTGACGGACGAAGTCCAGAGGTTCGTCTGGACCCGTCAGCTTACCGACTGGCCCTGAACGGCATTCACAGGGAGTCAGTCTGGAGTTATGTAGACTCCAGACACGATCAACAATAGCCCAACATCGCTCTGGCTACTGCAGCAGGTTAAACTCATACCTGAGTAGATTCAATGAGGATATGCCAAATGAGTGTCCCCATTACTCGAAACATCTCTTTGCATGTCCGGAAAACCCGACAACCCTAACGGCTTTGTCCCTGTGGACCGACCCGATAGAGGCTGCACGCTTCCTAGGTCTGCCGTTAGTGAAACTTGACGACATCGACTGAGATATCAACCGATCTGGGCGGGGTTGTTGTAGCCGCTACAACAACAACAACAACAACACACAAATCAATACGATACAACACAACACGAAACAACACATCACAACACAATACAACAAAATTATAGGATTCCTTAAACTCGTGCAGTCGTAAACTGTGTAAAACTCGGTAAGTTTACGAGGCTTTTATGGCAAAATGTGTAAATAAGTGCGTAAAGTGACTGTTTAAAAGATCAACCAAGATTTTGTGAAATAGTTTTTTTTCGTAGTATTTTCCCCAACAGCCCGCCATCTTGTCTCCATTGGCTAAAATAAAATTAAAAATGCCAAAAATTAGCAGAAAACCCATATTTGTTGTTGTAGCAGCAGTGCTCAACCCCCCAGATTTGTCATGTGTCGTCGTCTTCATCCTCCGACTCTGTGAGCCTGAGGCCGAGAAAGCGGGCTGCGTCGATAGGCGCGGTCCAGAGCGCTTCTGGTGTCAGGGTCGTAGGGTTGGAGGTGCACGTGAAGAGGTGCTGGGTGTCGTGGGGACCTTGCCCACATGCAGGGCATGTGTTTGCCACTTGTGTGTTCAGCCGAGAAAGGTAGCTGTTGAGTCGGTGACACCACCCAGAACGGAGTTGTGCTAGGGTGCACCTGGTCTCTCTCGGCAGCTCTATTTCTTCTGGATCTATGGGCGGCGGTCGACCGCCCAAGACGATGTTGTCATTACGCGTACTGAGGCTCGTTCTGACCGCATCGCTGTGTAGGCTGTTGAGCGCCGCTCTGTATGTTGCTGCGTCGAATGGATGGTCTACGTACGGCTCAATGTCCGCTTTCCAGTCGTGCAGGTGTCGTTTCACGTGTCGTGGGGGCGGTTCGTTACGAAGCAAGGCATTGTTGGGGTGATTCCCTCGGTGACAGCCTACGAGGTATTGCTTCGACAGCATGGTGTTGTGCTCTTTCACCGCCAGCATCTGGCTTTCTTCATGTAGGTGATGCTCGGACGACATGAGATGACAACCTGTAGCCGTACGTAGAGCTGCATTCTGGCAGGTTTGGAGGTTCCTACATTGGGTGTCGCTTGTCCCCGCCGTCCACACTGGTGCCGCGTAGTTAGCCACTGACCGGCCGATTGCCTTGTAGGTCGCGAGCAGGGTTTCTTTATTGGCTCCCCAGGTGCTGCCGGCTAGCGATTTTAGGACTTTGTTCCTGGCTCGCAGTTTGTTGCATGTGGCTGTGGCGTACGCGGAGAAGGAGAAGAGGCTATCGAACGTCACTCCTAGGATTTTAGGGTGGTTAGTCGTCGGTATTTTGGCGCCATCGACGAAGACGTCCAGTTCTAGCCCCACCTCCTTGGTCCAGGTTGTAGAAAGTGTGGCGCTGGATTTTGCGGCGGAGATTTGGAGGCTCCTTGCAGTGAAGAAGTGAGATATCTCACCGATCTTTCCAACCCATATTTGTAAAGTTAGTGGATGCAATTCATTCTTTTTATTCACATTTTATTAGTGGTATTCATCCAAACCGATAACTATTTCAAGCAGATAATCTTATAAGTTTACGCACTCTGTTACATGAACGACCCACACTATCTTTTCGTTTACACATGCGACAATAGTCGTGTTTTCTTTGGTTATAGACCTCAGTATCACTAACTTTATACTACTAGCACGACCTTAAGTTATTTGTTTTTGTTATTTTTATGGCCTTATAACAATTATATTCAACAATTTTTATGAGCTCGAGGCCGTATTTAGTGAAAACTTATTGTGGAAAAGCAACAATAATTTGAAAAAATGGTAGAAGTACTAAAGCCCATCCCTAAATAGTGCCAGAAGCCATACGCAATAAAGAGATCATTCAACACGATCTATCCGCGTACTTAAAATTTTTGAGAAGAAACACAATGCACTCACTTTTAATCGCCAGTGTAAGTGTTAAGAAAACTACGTTGTTCTATTTCCATTGTGTTCCTTCATGCCACACCAACGAACGCGCACGTTAAATTCCATTATATACACGCACTTACCTTCTGCTGGTACTTTTTTCTTCGAAGGTGGTGAATGAGATAAAGAGGGTCCATCCTGTACTTCATCAATGTATCGCTTTGTTTTAATTTTGCGACCACTGCGGCTGACTAATTCCGGGTTATCCGTCGTAGACGTTACTAGTGGCACTTGTTTATCTTCTTTTATTTTATGTGCCCTCAATTGTTCATCAATTTGATTTGCTACATCTTTCCCTTCTTCTATTCCGACAACTATGGCACTTTCATCCATTTGGCAATCTTCAGCCGTGATATCCGCGAATGCCTCAGTGCCATCATCTAAGGTTTCGTCTCCCAACGCTGCAGCACCCGGTAAATCGATAGGAGCCGAATCTTCTCCGTTTAATGCCGCCTCTATCTGCTCAATAGCCTCACGAAAGTTTGAACGCTTAAGATTTTTGTCGGTAGCAAACTTTTCTTTACTTTCCGCATATAGGAAAAGATCCTCCACTTTGATGTTTGCAGTCTCTCCCGTTCCGTAAAAGTACACGCTGTACTTTTTATTGTTGTACTTAGTAATCTTTGCTGGCCATGCTGGATAGCCCTTTACCTTAGCGAAAACCAAGTCGCCAATATTAAATTGTTTCTTTTCCTTTCCCATTATGCTTTTTAGTAGAGTAAATTTTTAATTTCTGAATCAAATATATAAAATTCACTTCCACGCTTTTGTTTAGTATGATTTCTCTTTCCGCCAATTTTCTTTTTTAGTTTTTGTGCGGCGATTT